TGTGTGTGTGTGTGTGTGTGTGTGTGTGTGTGGTGTGCGGCGCGCGGTGTGGTGTGCGGACTAGCAGCTAGTTGGTAATGTGTATGTATGGAGTGTGCATATGTCAGTTGTCGGTAGTGGTAAGTATAGTATGTCGCCTGTCTGGCACGAGGTTTTGGGGCTCGGGCTGTGAGAGGGCGACGGTGCCCGCCCGCCTGGTTGCGAGGTTACGTCGGGCGAAGTGCTGAGTGCACTATGTCATCGCTCGCTTGGGCCCGCCGCAGCCCTAGGAACCCTTGGGTATTCCGTGTCCCGGGCCCTGTCACCCTTCGAGCCCCGCCACTCACAGGGTCCGCCGCTGGCCTAGCGGGTTTTTTCTCTTTCTTTTTTGCCTCTGCTATGTATGGAGCAGCCCGTTGCATGCTACTATTTCCCACGCTTGACCACCGCTACCACTGCAAGGCTCCACCCCCCTCCAAGGCTGTCCGCTGCTCCTCTGTGTCTGCTGCCCACGGCGGCACGCTTCATTTTGCCTCTGCTCCAGTTTTCCCACCGCCTGTCTGCACAAGTGTCCTGACCCTCGCCTCGTTTGCATCGCGGACGTTACAGGTACCCCATCTGCGTTTGTCATCCGTGCTCCGCCCACGCCCACGCCCAACCGCCCCCCTCGGGCTCTCTTAGGGCATCCATGGCCCTTGTACCCATACCGCCCAGCCTCATCCAAGGATTGCCCATCCTGCCTCGTGACCGGCTCCTCGTCTGCCGCCTGCCCGCCTGCCCGCCTGCCCGTCTGCTTGTCGTTGCCAGATGCGGCCCGACTCAACGCCTGTTCGGTTCACGATCTTCACTGTACGGACACGTTGTCCCCATCCTTGCCTGCCATCGATCACTCTACACTGCTCGTCGCAACAGGCCAAGATGTGCAATGGTGCCACTATAACCTCATCACTTGGTCGTTTCATTGTAGCTACTGGTAGACTATCTTACACATGTCTACAAACTAATCCGCCACATGCGCTGCGACGTAAGCACTCGACGCCGCCCCTCGTGTGCTTTTTTGCCATCGCCTTTCCCCGGCTACCCTGCCCTAAGCGTCTTCGATCTGCTCCACGCGCCCTGCCTTGCCTGCCTTGCCGCTCCTGATCGAATCTCGCTCGTCCGCCGTCGCATGATGGTCCCTCAGCTGTGTCGCCCGTGCTTTGCTAGGAATCGTGTCCTGGATACACCCTCTGATGATATTGCCCTCGAACAGCTCGCCAATTGACTCGAGCCGCACGCCCTTGGTCTCGGGAACACACAGCACCGTCCATATGCCCATAGCAATGCACAGCGAGCCAAACAAAAGAAACGTTCCGTACGTAATGTTGTCCAGCATCAATGGCGTAATCTTTGCAATCACAAAGTTGAACAGCCACTGAGTCATGAGCGAGGCCGCCATGAGCAGCGACCGTACCTGGTTCGGACTGCACTCAGACGCCAGCACAAAAGGAATGGGTCCCCAGCCAAACGAGTAGAAGACAACAAACAGGTATACGCACACAATGGCAAATATTGCGTTCCCGTCTAGGTCGCCCGATGGTGGGTGCACCGCCTGGTTGACCCCGATGTAGAACATGGCAAACGCTTGCCCGAGGGACCCGATGATCAGAGACCACTTGCGTCCGAGCTGCTCGGTAAACGCCATTAGCCCAATGGCCGTTACCACAATCTTGACAATGCCGTAGATACCGGTCGCCTATATAGCCACACCGTTAGCACCGTTTCAACTCCCCGTTCATACATACATATATGTATGTACATGTACGTGCAACAAGCCACCATTCGCACTTACAAATAAGCCCGATGATTTACCGGTAAGACCAATCTGCTGGAAGATCTGCGGGGCGTAGTAGTTGATCCTAACCAAGGTCAGCCGCATTCCTGCATCTAATCGAATAGGTATCAGAGCCATACGAGTTTGTGCCAGTCCACTGCTGCCAAAACATGAGAATGACAACAAATGACGACCGGTAGAACATCTTCTTGCCCGAGCAGGACGCCTTAATCTGGGCAACCAATGGCATCTTCTCGTGTCCGTTGAAGTCTGCAATAATCTCATCAAGTTCCTCAATAACCTCGGGGTCGTCGACCCTCTTGCCGCGCACTGTAGCCAGCGCCTCAGCAGCCTCATGGATCCGGTTCTTTTCTACCAACCAGCGGGGCGATTCGTTCATAAAAACAATGCCCGCAAGCAGGATGGCTCCAGGCAGCATTTGCAGTGCAAAAGGTACTCGCCATTTGGTGGGATCAGTGGGGCTGGTGATGTGCAGAGCGATGCCGTAGTTGACGAAAAAGGACAAACAGATGCCGGTGACGTTGAAAAGTTGCTATTGTTTTTTGTCAGTCCACCACGCCTAGTCACCAAATTTGATTCAAGCAACCATACCATGCAACCAATGCAACGACCTCGAATTGCTCGGGGGGCATTCTCTCCAATGTAGGTAGGTACGACGGCAGAGATCAAACCAACTCCAAATCCACCAATCACACGTCCGACGTATAACTGGGCAAGATTCGACGTGCCAAGCCCACACAGTGTCTGGATCAAGGATCCGACAATGAAGATGATGTCGGCGATAATAAGCGCCCATTTCCTGCCAAATGTGTCCGAAACGTAGAAACTCGCCAATGCGCCGAAAAAGCAACCTGCTTGCAGTACAGACACAATGTTGCCCTGTAGATTGGCAAAGTCGGGGCTGCCCTTGTGCAGGTTGAAGGAATTCTGGAACGAGTCCATGGTCAAGACACCTGGGCACATCGCGTGAGGTTAGCATACTAAACAAAACCAACGTCCATTGTTATGCAAGTCGCGTACCTCCGATCAAGCCAGTGTCCCAGCCAAACAGCATGCCGCCGAATGAGGCAACGGCAGTAAGCAGGTAGGCCCGGCGGTACAACTTGATGTCCGCCCAGACCTCACCCAGATTAAGCATCGCCATAGTTCCTTTTCCCGTTACCCGTCCAATATATCGCCGTCAGCGACACACGCGGCAGTATAAAAACAAGAAGAAAGAAGAAACGTGTAAAGTGTTTGCAATGATAAAGACCAGGGTGGGCGATCTCTCTCCATTTAAATAACAATCCCCCCAACCCCATCCAATTCCCAACGTCTCCACTAGGCCTGCCCTCTTCCCCCAGAAAGACGTACGAGCAAAACCCGTCGCAAAGGGTTCAATTGGCGCCGTGTGCCTATCGGCACAAAAGGCGGCACATGTGACGTCTTTTGGCACGCGCGGGGGGGCGACCAGCCATGCGACATTCGTGGGGACTCCACCTTCAAAAGTCTATGTGTTGCCTTGACGCCTAAGCGGGGCCCCAAATTTCTCTCCTGGCCTGAGCTGTCTCCCCAGTGGGGTCGGCAACGTCGGGGACGGGCATATTCCATCCGCTTTGTTCAAACGCCGCTCTGGCTTGTTACACGCACACACACATATCCGACAAGAGAATTATTATCCTCGGATATGTTGTGGGAATGGTGATGCGGGTACCTGCGGTGTTGCGCAAAAGAAATGGGACGTAATATCAAGCTTGTGGCAAGGGAACCAAAGCGGCGTGGGCGGTGTAGAGACGGCGTCTGTACGGCGATGCCATCTGCACGTTACATCCTACCTCTGGCTCGGTACCGGCAAGTGGAGGAGCCCTGTTCGCACGCCCGTCTGACAGATCTCAGCCTCTTTTTTTTGCCTCCATTATTCACATGTGAATGTGCAGCATCAATGTCGAAGAATAGGAAGAGTTGCATCCATCTTGCGATGCTCAATCACCACACTTCTTGATCAAACACCGATGCCAACAAGCCACACCTGAGAAACGCGCTCGCCTTGCCAAGTCGCTCGCCATGCCCGCTCAAAGACCGACCCCGGATCCCACGTTTTGACTCCGCATTCTTGACTCTCCGCATCAACATATGAATCATCATGTTGATTGCCGACGTGCTCAATCTTGCATCTCACCCATACCACTTGCACCACTCCTGCATGACACCCAGACAGAAAGAGATTACGGTATTGGAGGCTATCATGATTCATCAATTAGTCTATCCATTGCATCTACGCTACCAGGCCTAGACCCATCCATATTCTCTATCATCTACATGTTCGCCTTCTCCGTCTTCTGCTCCGGTACCTGCGTCAATAGCTTATCGCTCGTAATGGCCGACTTGAGGTTATCCAGAACCAAGATCTCCATTTCGCGCTGCAACCATGTTAGCTTCTTCCTTATCTTCTTTCTTTTTCCTACACAACATACCTGAGTTTCAAACGTCGCCGTGCCAACGTGAGGCAGCAGTACGGCATTCTCGCACTCCAACAGTCCGGGATGGATCTTTGGCTCCTCCTCGAACACATCTAGTCCCACAGTCCACACCTTGCCGCTCTTGAGCGCATCCACCAACGCCGCTTCGTCAATCAACGCGCCTCGTGCTGTGTTTACAATGACAACTCCATCCTTCATCTGATTGAATTGTTCCTTGCCGATAATGTGTGTAGTCGAAGGATTGAGAGCCAAGTTCAAGCTCAGCACGTCCGACGTCTTGAGTAGCTCCTCGAAGCTAACGTATTTGGCACCATTTTCCTCGCTCGCAGGCAGCTGGCGGCGGTTGTGGTATTGTATCTTCATGCCAAAGGCCTTTGCGCGGTGTGCGACAGCCGAACCAATGCCACCCATGCCCAAGATACCTAGCGTCTTGTTCTTGGGGTCGTGTCCGAGAGAAAAGTTGCCACGCCACTTTCCTGTTTGAAACTGTCAGCACTGTATTTGCCGTTATCGCAGATCCTGATACCCACCGCTGTTGACTGCCATGTATGATTGCTTAATGTTTCGTAGGGCGCCGAGCATCAGCCAGATGGCGACGTCGGCAGTCGCGTCGTTGACTGCAATTGGCGTACTCGACACCGAAATACCCCTCTTTGTGCATGCCGCAACGTCGATGTTGTTGTATCCTGCGCCATTGTGGCACACGTACTTTAGACTCTTTGGCAGCGCATCAAGCAGCTCAGCATTGAAATCTCCAGTAATCGGGTTCGAGTCGTTACTCCTGTAGAGAGCGTAAACTCCGTCGAACTCGCCGCTCTTGCACTTGGAAATGAAGTCTTCACGGTTGCCATCGGGGTACTCGTGTAGCTTGGACACGACCTCAGCGCACTGCTGCCACTCTTTCTGCGCATGTGACAGCTTGCCGATTAATAGTGCCGCTCGTTGAGACATGATGTACGTATGTGTGTGTGTGCGTGTGTGTGCGTGTGTGCGTGTGTGCGTGCGTGAGTATGAGGCAATGAGATCGAGGTGAAGGCAGATTTTGAAGCCTATCTGAACAAAGCAGAATGAAGAAGAGAAAGAGGCGGGAAAATGGCAAATGTCAACTTTAGCAAAGCGGCATTTGCATCCTCTTTATTGCACCGCCCTGCTCCGCCAGCGGAGCACTTCTTACCGGTCCATCTCGGACCGAGACTTCCACCATACAGATGTGGTATGCAGTAATTCACTCATTTTGATAATAGCAGGTAAGTTTACTATCGCATTGTCATTGTTTGCTGTCAAGAGTATTTTGCGACAAACATTGAGTTTCTGGTGCTGATACCCCGCCGTAATCCTCAGCAACCCCGCCATCGTCATGGTGATTGCATACTCACTACAACACATGTGCAGGTCAAAGGCCATGTCAATTTCCATCTTGGGCTATTTTACCAAGCCTGATATCAACTCTAATATACCATTTAGAAGATATCATGCGGCAGCTCACCAGATGCTAGGTACAAGATCCAAGGGTTGACCAACGTCATCGGCGTTTGACCTCGAACCTTCAAATGCCGAAACACGACACGTGAACACGCTGTCCAGCCAGCCAATGCACGACACCCGATCAGAACAAGCGTGTCGTATATTACCTCATTGGGCGCCCGGTCTAACCTCGCCATCGGAGCCGAGGCGAATCGCCTATTTCCGATGTCAATCCTCCCGCTTTCTTGCATGGCGGCTCTGAGGCTAGGCAACAAGGCAGCCATGGACCTGGGCTGCCTAGTGAAGCCTGGCTTTGGTATTCAATACAGAAGGAAAAAGACATGATACTATAAGTATGTAGTTGATGGGAGGTATTTTACAGTTGTTTATCAGGATTCTGAGGAGAATACAAAACTGTACATAACGACTACACCGTATAATTCACTCCCAAGCTCGAAAATTATACTTCACCTTGACCAAGTCCACTATCAACCACCACCCTCATTAACCCCAATCACCACAAACCAACCACAAAAAATGGAACTCAAAACCATCGCAATCCTCGGCGTACGCCACCCTTCTTCCTCTACCCCCTTCCCCATCTAACTCACCCACCCCCACAGCCCGGAGGCCCCCTCGGCACCGCCATCCTCGACGAACTCCTCCAACAACCCTCTCCCATCCCCTTCAAAACCATAACCCTCATCACCCGCCCCACCTCCTCCTACATCCCACCCCCACCTCCCTCCACCAGCGCTCCAACCCTCATCCACAAACACGCAGACTACACCTCCGCCACCTCCCTCCTCGCCGCCTTCTCCGGCCAAGACGCAATTGTAAACTGCATCACGGGCAGCGCAACCCAGTACGCTGCGTACCGCCTCATCATCGATGCCGCGCTAGCTGCAGGCGTGAAATTGTTCTTTGCAAATGAGTTTGTGGGCAACGTGCGGAGTCCACGATACAATCGGTTGCCGGAGGGGTTTGTAGGGGCAAAGGCGCGGATAAGGGGAGAGTTGGAGAGGATGGGAGGGAGGGGGGAGATGGGGTGGGTTGGGTTGAATGGGGGAGCTTTTATGGACATGTGTATGTATCTTCTTTCTTCATCGTGCTTGTTTAGTTTTATCCCTGTTGGGATGGGAGCATTGGCTGTGGAAAATTACTGGGGGGAGGCCCCTTTTTTGGAAGGGAAAGGGGGAATGTTGATACTGATGCGGAAATAGGGCTTACAAAAGGTCCTGGGGGCTTCTCCCTACCTACATCTCACGCCCGTATCTACGGCTCAGGCGACGTCCCGCTGTACTGGACCCCGCTACCCGTTCTCGCCCGCGCAGCTGTACACATGCTGCACAACCCAGAGCCAGTTATGAACCGCGCCATTCATATTTGTCCGTTTGTAGCGCGACCGGGCGAGCCCTCGTGTCTCACGCAGCGTGGGTTGCTGCGTGTGCTGGAAGAGGAGCTAGGCACCAAGTTTGAGATCGAAGAGGTGGATGTTGAGAGGATTTTTCGGCATGCTATGACGGTTTTGGCGAGGTATGAGAAGGGTGAAGCTAGGGGAGAGGGGATTGCGCAGGCGGTCAAGGGGTTGGCGGTTTGCAATCAGTTCTATGAAGAGGAAGTGGGTGCCGGAAAGTCGTTTAGCGACTTGGTTGAGAATGAGGTTGTGGGGGTTGAGACTATGGATGTGAGGGATGCGGTTAGGGATGCTATTAGTCGGTATGGAAGGGACTGCGCTGTTGTTGAGGGTATGTTTAGAGTGGAAGCTTGTGAAGTCTAAGGAACTTGAAGAATTTCTTTGGAGTGATATCACATCACCCTCTCGATGGTTAATTGGACGGAGAAGTCATATGATGCAGAGATGAATCAATTCGTCAATTGTAACTTTTTTTGGTCGGTAATAATGTTTTGTTGCACGCTCAAGATTTCCGCCCGACACAGTCATATATGTAAATACCAGCAACCTCCCAAGATACCCATGACAATCAAGAACGGCCCCCTTGCCCTTCCATAACCCAGAATCACTGAGACGGTCCACCACCAAAACTCTGGCCTTGATACTGGTGCATACCCCGTCCGGGTCCGTGGCCTGCATCCTCCACTGCCATCGAGTCCCAATCCCACTGATCCATCGTAGCCGTAAAAGGATTCGCATAGAACAAACTCATTTGCGGCTGACCAAACTCGTGCATGCCCGTGTTGGAACCAGTCAGATAATCAGAGCTGGGAGCATTATTCGGGTAGAATCTCCCGGCATCAGGTCGTGGAAAGTAGGGCATATTATTCAACTCATCGGGTCCCGGCCATGCAGGTTGCATGTGCTGTAGTGGATGCGGGTGACTTGTTATTTGATATGACTGCTGCGAACCAGGTTGTTGCGGTAACGGCCCATATTCTTGGCGGCCAAGTGCTTGAGAGTGCTCTGGATAAGGCATTTGCTTCTTGGCAGCGTCTTCTGATCGTTGTCTACTGAGCACCTTAGTGACGACATTGTATGCGCTCTCGCTAACCGCGTCAACAGTCTTCATCGAGTGAAGCCACGCTATAAGCTTTTCGACACAAGATGTCACGTGAGACTTGTCGATGGTCAAGTGAACGCAATCCAATGAAAGCTCGATCAAAAGCGGGGTGAGGGCTTGCATGACTGCATCGCACAGTTAGCTTAACAGTTCATGTAGTATACCAAGCATGCTTACTCATATGTGTGGCGCACCACCAAGGACCGTTTGCATAATACCAAGAACGGTTCGGGACATCAGGCAGCAGCGCTGCAATGTCAAGAGCCGCTCCGATACAGGCTTGAGCTGTCTTTTGGTTGAAGCGCGAAGACTCCTCGCTCTGTTCTTTTATCCGCTCATCCATTTTACAAACGCAGGGCCGAGTGATGCAGATTTTGGCGTTGTAATAGTAGAGATAGAGCAGCAAGCGCTCGCGATCTAAACTATGATCAACAGTGGCGGCGGCAGCAGCAGACGCGCCCTGTGGCAACGATTGCAAAGCCCAGGTTTCAAGTTCTTCAGAGAGCGAGGTCATCATGCTCTGTGCGCCCTTCCATGACCTGACAGACTTTCGTGGCGAATACAGTCCAGCGAGGATCTTGTCCATGAGAATGTCGAGCCTGACATAGGCTGCAGCGAAGTTGTCCAAATTGTGTGCAGCGCTCTTCTCTCCAGTAGAAGAGCCAGAGACATGGCTGTATACCGAAGCAGTGGTAGAAACATTGCCTGTTGTAGCTTCGCGCGACCTCGATTCCGTCTCGGTCCTGACTGTACCCGGTGGGGGTACTGTGCAGTCGTTGGCAGATATTGCCCGGGGGCGTCCCAATATTGCAGTAAGAACGCATTCGACAGAGTTGAGGGCCCACCACAGCTCAGCCAGTGAGTTTCTCCGGTTGTTGGGAATAGAGGGATTCTCATATCTAAGGTGCAGACCTGCAGCCTGCGCATGTCGGATAGCCATACCGATCATGAACCAGGCTCTGAGCACCATCTCAGCAAGTGTTTTTGCCTCCGGCTCTGGAATATTTCACCGTGGTTTCGAACATACCTGCTAACGTGGCCGATTGTGAGGTAGTATAATGCAAGAAGTCCGATTGCCTGAACCTTATCAGAAGGGTGCATTTCGTAGTTTTCCATGCTCACCTGTATCAGTCGCTGCTCCGGATGCGAAACGAGAGCTCTCAAGTTTTGCAGCTGTAAGAGATGGATCGCTCTCCACATGTAGACCAGATGATCGCGATCGTCCGCTCGCCACTCAGCGTCGACTAGATACGAGTACCGTGCACCAATGGCGAACACAAGGTTCATGACAGCTTTCCACTTGGGGCACACGTTTGCCGTAACTCTTCCATCCTTCTCGTTGAGATAGACTTGTAGTTGTTGCTCGAATTCATCGTCAACGAGCTTGAACGGACTGTGCACTGCATGCTTGTAGTAGCCGAACAGACTCCGTGCTGTACTAGCAGAGGGCACAACGTTGGGATCACCAATTTCGATATCAATGTTGGTCTTGTCGAGGTAAAAGTAGTAGTCGGTTGCAGAGTTCGCGTGGGCCTGCGTATGGCCACTCTTCTGTTGACGCCCATGCAGTGCTTCAGCACGCCGGTTGAAGGCTTCTGTACTGGCTCCAGGAAGCCTGTAGTCCGCAAAGGAAGGCTCACCTTCAGTTTGTTCCACCTTGGACTCGAGTGCACGCAGCCACTGGGCTTGAGAGTTACGGCCCATGAAGCCTGCACTTTCCGCCTCGTTAACACGCAAAAGATCTTCCTGAGCAAAGTCCAGGTCGTCATTTGACCCAACTGAGGCCGAAACAAGCGCCTCTCCGATATCTGCAGAGTTGGAGCTTACGGTGTCGTCATCGAAATAAGAGGTTTGTCTTTGGCGCTTGGAGTGTGACACAGAGGGTACCGAGGGGGTCAGGGGAGGAGGTGTGTCATCTTCAAAAGACGCCAGTACTTCTTGGATTTTATTCTTACCTTTCTCGTCCAGTTGGCTACTAACATCGTTCAAAAGATCTGTCAGAATCTGCACCTTGCGTAACGCGCTTTCTCCTGTGTCAGCAGAAACCGCGGAGCCAGCGGCATGATCTCTACGCACCCTCGGAGGCGGTCTTTGCGCTCCTGCTCATAGTGGCACGCATGGTCCTTTCCCTGGCGCTGGCAGTTGGTACAGCGCGGCCGGTCGCCGGAACATTTGATTTCTGACTGTGGTCAGCGAGCTCTACCTTCCAAGACAACAATGACCACTCAGTCAGAGTAAAGAAGCAACTGAAAAGCACAGGTTAAGCTGGAAGAGAGGCCCACTTCGCTTACGGCACTGCGTACACTACCGGCTGTCAGCTCCGGCCCAATGATTATCGGAATGCCAGGACTCACGGCTTTGCTCACTACGTCGGTCCGGGGACGCTGAGGTCGCGCTGTAGCAGGCAAGTGATAGTTGATGTTCTGTAGTCGTGGGATGGCCACCTTTGCATCTGGCCTTGACCAGGAGCTCAAGTGCTCAGGCGGGTAGTGCTGCTGCGTGTTGTCCATAGGTTTAGGGGCTTAAATGGAGCGCTATAGGAGGAGAGATGGCAGCATATCGCTGGACAGGCTCAGTTGATGCTGGAGCTGAGGAAGTAGGAAGCTAGGGTAGAGTGCGTGTCTGTAGTAACGGTCGGGTTCAGCCGCGAAATCATCAAACATACATGCATTTGGTCCAGATAATACTGGGTATTGAAGGAGAGGATTTGGGGATACGAAGCGTTGTGATTGGTTAGGGCACTCATACCGTAGCCAATCACGAGCAAACAAGCAATGTCACGTGTCGGCCGCAAGTGAAGCCACATCAAGGTACGCGGGGCACCTAGATGTGATACAACCGATTATGGTATGCTTCTCGTGCACCTAAATTCACTCGAAAGTTATTCAAGCCAATAGTCTTGCCTATGTTACTGTTCTTGAGTTGTTTTTGATGGGAACCACACATGTACCTCGTTTAAAACTCAACAAGGCTTTGGGCACCGACACCCTACATGGCTACCCCCACCATCTAGGGTTGCAACATGGCCAAATATAATATAAGCCCCAGTGCTCTTGCTTCCACCTGCTAGAGAACCCGCTTGCTCAACTCCCACCAATACTTCATCTCAGCATCCCGTGAACGTGCATCAGACCACAACGATCCGACGGAGCAGCTCTTATATCGTCTCTTTTAGTCCGCGGACGATTTTCTAAACTTCCAAGGAACACAACGAGCCAAGTCTTCAACGAGGAGGTATCCAGAGCGTGGACAAGTCCCGTGCTCCCACCAGGAAAAGGAATGGGACGCCGTGGAGGACACTAGACTTTAACCAGAAACGAAGCAAGATAGCGCGTCGCTCACCGATTTTCAAGAAAACTCTGCACTTTTCAGCTAACTATCTCCGATAATTCGATTCGAGATACCAAAAAGGGCTTCCTTTATCAGTCTGTGCTGGCATTCGCGGAATCTTATACCGAGTGAGGTTTCTCCGCAGAAGCTAGACGCGCGAAACCATATGTGCATCATGGCTCGATCCACAGAGATGTATGGTAGTGAGACATCGTATTGCTAGGGCCCATCTATTCATGTAAAGTCAACACCAAGATCTTGCTTGTAGGGCGAGGGTCGATTAGCGTATAGCTTCGAGTTGATCTTTTTACGTAGCTTTGTATGCACGGACGCACACCGAACCTACGCATCCGAGGTCCTCTGAAAGTCCAAGCACTCGATCAGCGCCCAACGTTATGTTCCACGCAATAGCAATATCACTGGTTGTGTCGCATCAAGACATCGCGTTGGTCGCTCAAACAATTTTTACAAACTACCATGTGACCGTGATCAAGAAAAAAAATCTAGATTTTCTTATGCAGTCTTAAGTAAAGTCTGCGATGAGATAGTATATACAGACGAAGGTTCTAAGAATAAACTGCACTTTTTAAGCACGGCACATGCGGCCATCTGTGCTGACTTCCCACGCCTCACTACCAACACCCTTCAGGATGTAGAAAACACCCCTGGGGTCGTACTTGGCCTTGATGGCCTTCAGCTTGGGGTAGTTGGCACCAAAGAATGTATCTTGCCAGTTAGGCTGCTGGAAATCAGCCTCATTCAGGTATGCGCCACTGCCTGGAGTAACGGCCTCAAGCTTGGGCATGAGTTGGGTAGTCATCTTCTGCTGGTCTGCCTCCATGGTGGCCCAGGGAGCGGTGGAGTTCCAGTTTGTGATGAGTTGTTGCTGAATCAAAGCATTTCGCCATGCTGGGAATACACTGTTTGGAGGGTTTCCAGCGGGCTTCTTGTAGTTGGCTGTGCTACCAGCAAGCAAGACACCCTCTGCAATAAGCTCTTGATAGACCTTGACAAGGTCCGCAGTGTTGTTCTCCACAACATCGCGGGGAATGAGACGACCGCCAAACTGGTACCTGTTGACCTCATAGGCTCCGCGTGGGAGAGGACCCATGTAGCGGTCGTAGTGGTCGCGGTAAGAGAGCTCACTGTAGACAATTGGTGGGGTAATGCCAAGGTCTGTAAGAGCCTTTGCAAAAGGTGCAAGAACAGTGTCCTTGACATACGCGGCTGTTGAGTCCCAAACAGTGACGGGCTTGAGGACAATATACTGGGTGGAGACCAAGAAAACCACCATGGCACCAGCATCAACCATTCCGGGAAGAAGCTCGATAAGCTTGGAGGTTGCTGCGGCAAACTTCTCGGGGGTGGTAGATGATGCCAGTAGTTGCATAGCAGCACCACCAACCGTCTTGGATGGGTATGCTTTCACAGTCATTGAGAGGACAACAGCATATGTGCCACCACCACCTCCGCTGAGAGCCCAGTAGAGGTCAGAGTTCTCGGTGGCTGAAGCAGTCAGAATCTTGCCTTCAGCAGTAACAACCTAGAAATAAATTATTAGCCATGGTTATTTTTGCTTGTAACATGGAGTTTCTCACGTTGAAAGACAAGGTCTGGTCAGCACCAAGACCAAAGGCAGTGCTGAGAACACTGTGACCACCACCTTGGGTGAATCCTCCGGCCAGACCAACGGTGGCGCATTCGCCAGAGACAACACTCATGTTTTGCTTGTGCGCAGCCTCTAGCAACTCGTTGCCCATGACACCTGCACCAACAGTGACGGAAGGACCAGTGTAGTACTTGTCCGACCAGTCACCGAAGGTAATGCTCTTGAGACCTTGCGTCCAGATAGCAAGAGCGCCAGCTCCAGTGGAGCGGCCAAGGAAGTCATGGCCAGTGTTGCGAACAACAACACGAATGTTCTGATCCTTGGCAAACTTGAGGGCAGAGACAACATCCTTTGCCTGAGTGGCCTTGACAGAATATGAAACATAGTTGCCCAGGGTGCAAGGGATGGTCCTATCGGAGAAAGGATCGCAGCTCTGATTGGCGAAGTAGGACTGCATAACCGAATGCGAGGAGGGAGTACTGCCAAGACGTATCAAAAATCACATCCAGAAGAATATAAATGTTCATAAGTCTTGTACTTACTGTGTAAGAGGGTCCAGCCATTGTGACTTCAACGCGCTGCAAGCGTCGGCATCGTAGGTTGGGTCGTGGCATGGCGAGCCGATGGGGACAGTAGCTACAAGCTTTCCGTTGACAGTTGAGTTAAGGATCGACCATGCTTGAGTAGCTGGCCAATCGGCATCACCTGGCAAACGGTAGCAGTCTGCAGGAGGAGCGTCTGCAGGAGCAGCGTCTGCAAGGCTAGCAAATTGTAACGCTCCAAGGAGCAGTGCATTCTTGGCGAACCTCATCCTGCAAAAGCGAAGAAGAAGAAAAGTATTAGATAGTAGTAGTAGTGGATTCAAAGGAACAAGTTGCAAGCCCTTCATATATACTCGTTGCTTGCCTGAATGTTCATTTCGCACCGCCTCGAACCCATCATCCTTACTTCGGAGACCAGCTCGAAGAAGGCAGTTTAGCGACCATACATGGCCTCGTGTAGGAATGCAGCGCCGGTAGTGTCGACCCGGCGCAGTGTATCCACACGTTGATGCCGTGACAAGACACCAGCCTTGCACTGGGCTGGACTCCGGCGAAACCCTCAAGGCGGAAACTGATAGCCGCAGCAGGTACGGGTCGTCGACCTTCTGCAGGGCATGGTGGGTCGACAGATCAATGGAGGGATTTAACCGGGTGGGTTTACGCTGGGGTGTGGATCCTTTACCGAGGGCCGTCCTGCTACGTAGGATTGGGAGTGGTCAAACTATGGAGACACGTTGTGTATCTGAGTGGATGTGGTAGATAAGAAGACCGACGATGGTGGTCGACCCCACCTTTTCATTCACCATGTATTGTTGCGCCATCACCACCATCACCTCTTTGAGCAATATCCCTTGGACCTCAACGTTCTTCGTTGTTGAACCCCTAGCAAGTGGAGGCAAATTGGTTGGGATTTCACAATTGGCTTTCGGTTAGCGTGTGTGGCGTTCGCCTGACACGCCGGATTGTTCCCCACGTGTCGCTAAGGCGGCTGGCACATGAAAGGACCCCTTTATGAACATGGATTCCGTTCTACTCTTTTAGCACATGCAGAGTCCAAGAGACTATGCGACAGCGCCTTCTCACAAAGTTTGCGCTATCGAAAGTGCCATGGTCGGCTATGCTCCTGTACCCGGCAGTTCATACCGATGACGGGCGACGCCACGACTCGTGGGTTTCATTCATGAACTGTTCGTAGAATGGAACCCCTGTGCACATCATACCCCGAGAACACCTTCCGTTTCGAGTCGTGGGTTAAATAGCATTACCTTTGCCGCCATCGATTCACTCGTGACCTTTTTGCGGTTTCTCGCATACCAGCTACATAGCAGAGTTCAACCTCCATGTACTTGTCCTCTGACCATTCAGGTCTAGTAGAAGCATCAACATGAAGGCTTTTCTCCGATATTACCTTCTGCTGTGCCTTGCTGCCATCTCAATGGTAACCACGGCACAGCGGACTGCCACATCAGATCTCCCCAAGTGTGCTGTAAGCCACGCTCGCTTCTCGTATCTCAACTTTTGCTGACTACTACAGCTTCTCTGTCTCGGGAGCGCATTCGAGACCAACACTTGCTCTCCCTTTGACCAGAAATGCATTTGCACAAACAAGGGTTTCCAGCAAAACGTAACTCTGTGCGTAAGCACGACCTGCACCGTTCCTGAGGCTCTGGGTATTTCGGATCCACTCCCGTTGAGAAAAAGCAAAAAAGGCTAATTCGTATAAAGTTACACGAAACATCAGCCTTACCAACTGCGGGGCTCCAGTACGCAATCGCGGCGACAAATATGTCGTCTTGTCAAACACGATGCTTTGTATAGCGTCCGCCTTCGTTATCATGCGATTCGCCTTCAAGGTCACCATGTCGAGACTGGATATTGGCTGGGACGACTGGTGCGTCCTTGCGACGCTGATAGCCGCCCTACCCAGCGCCTTCATCACGGTATATGGCACTGTCAAGAACGGACTTGGTCAGGATCTCTGGACCTTGACTCCCACGCAAATCACAAACATGCTGCGGTACTTTTATATCATGGCATGGCTATACTTCACCCAGCTCACGCTACTGAAGCTCACTCTGTTGTTCTTCTACATCCGCGTGTTTCCAAGCAAAGATGTCCAGCGCCTGCTATGGGGCACAGTTATTTTCGTCGTACTCTGGGGCGTCGCTTTCATCATTGTAGCGATCTTCCAATGCCAACCCATCTACTACTTCTGGACGAAATGGGACGGCATGCACCATGGTAAATGCCTCAAGATCAACGCAATTACCGCATCAAACGCCGCCATCTCGATTGCCTTGGACTTCTGGATCCTAGGCGTACCTCTCTGGCAGCTTTGGGGCCTGAAGCTGCATTGGAAGAAGAAGGTTGGTGTGGCACTAATGTTTTGCGTTGGCACCTTCGTTACAGTCGTTAGCATTCTGCGCCTGCAGGCCTTGGTGCACTTCGCCGCGTCATCAAACGTTAGCTGGGAGTTCTACGACGTCTCAGTGTGGAGCACGGTTGAGATATGCGTGGGAATCATGTGGTAAGTTAACTTTGTCCGAACCAAGTATTTTTGATTTGCATATCTTGCTAACACATGATTGCAGCGCATGCCTTCCGACACTTCGCCTCCTCCTAGTCAAACTCTTCCCGATCCTCGGTGGCTCCTCGGCACGCAGCCGTCAATACTATAACTACGGGAGCGGCAATGAGCTGCGGAGCGTCGGTCAACAGAAAAGCAAATCATACAACGTCAACACTGCTGTATCAAGCCCACGGACTGCATCCTTTGATGACAAAGTTGAGGAAGGCATCAGGGTCCAGACGTCGTATAATGTCAAGCATAGCAGTAGCCGAGACGATACAGACGAAGCGAGCCTGGTAAGCCACGAAGCGCCACAGAGGCTGTAATGCCGAAATACGCCGTGCGTATCCATCTTATGTTACAACAATAGTTTGAATTAAAGACGGGATTCCCTACCATTTCATGCCATTTTCGTCCCATTTCGCACCAATTCGCACCAATTCGCATGATCGGATGTGCTCCGTATCGCCGTGCATCGATGATTGCAACTTGAAGTTGCTCAAACCTTATCGCGATCAACCTCTGCATTCAAAACAGCTCTTCTGCTGAATGCGAACCATTATCTGGGTGCTGACTGCGGTGATCGACGTACATTGAAACGCACATGCACGCACATCACGGTTCTGTGGTTCGGCCGTCCAAAGGGTAGTGCAGATCATTCAGAAGAGTACCACCGAGATCTTCGTAGGAGATCAGCGCTAGTATGACAGATCCACGTGTCGCCGATCTCTCTGCACGTTAACCTCGTATAGAACCTTCTTTGAAGAAAAAAATTGGCGTCTTTGGCCCAGAATGCCAACCTGGCATGCCAATTAATTGGGGTCTTGTCCTTTGGACGGCAGTCGTTAACATGGCTTGCACACCTACTCGCCGCACGATTCAGGAGGTTTTTCTGCAGTAATAGGAGACGCGGCAAGGCAGCGGGGAGTGGTTCCGGCGGAGTAGAGCCTAGGTATGAATCGCAAGTCTGCTATGGAGTAGTTATGTGGCTTGTCGAGCTGCCGCTGCCACATTGTGGGGTCGATACCTAATAGCCGGAATTCGGCATACCACCCAGCCTTCCACGGACCGAGCTTTCAGCCGCTGCGCCACAATCACGATCGCACACATCGACCACGACAAAGGTCAATGGTAGTAATTTCTATTGCTATTTTGCATGCGTCTATTAGGTTACATAACCATTCGGCAACCTGCAGCATCTGAAAGTATATACACCCAGAGTGGTAATGGTAACGGACAAAAGGCCGCGCTCGGCCGAGAATTAGGTACGCAGGTTAGCTTGCTAGCGGCCGCGAAACTTTGAACTAAGTGACATTGCCGGCAGGTGCAGGTGATGAAGAGGCCGCCAATTATTGGCCTTTTTGCCTCTTTTGCTGCTCTTGCTGCTGCAGTCTTTTTTCGCGCCTGTCTGCGATTCGATGAAATATGCTGCCATCGTATACGGCGCGGATGTCCTCCTGTAAACAGTTAGTCAACGTGGAATACCAGGTGTGGATTCTTCTCGGAGGGCTACAAACTTTCATCATCCGACCATCTTCAGGCCAAAGCATCAGATACGTCGCGGTCCCTAGCGTTGTCATCTGTTAGCCTATTTTGGTCTCTCCCTACCAGCCAAGGACTATCGGATACTTACACTCGAAAATGAAACCACACCAGCCAATCGGATCGTTGATGTTTCTTTGGCCCATCAAAGTATTCTTCAAATCCTGGATTGTCAGGTAATCCCTGCCATCCGCATACTTGGTGAAGATTTCCTCAAACTTGGCCGGGATGAATCGTCCCTCCGGATCGAAAGTCCCAGTGTCACTTCCATGTCTTGCTCTATGTACGTTCTTTAGGAATAGACGGAAATAGGGGTCTGGCAGCCACCCCGGAGAGGTCGGATACGAGAAGTTGATATGAATGACTAGAACCGCAAAAGCGGAGAAGAGGATGCCGAGGCCCAGGCGATAGAAACCGATATATGTGTCTTGTGGCCAAAGAATGCCATCGCCGTCACGGTCAAAAAAGTCGCAGTGCTGTTGCAGTACGGTTTGATGAGAGTGTTTTTCAGCCCAGTTGTCTTGTGTGCTTCCTTGGGGCGTATCCAGTGAAGGTGCAAGGTTTGCACGCGCTACCGCTGTGTGTATTTGGCGATGAGCAAAGTGACGCGTGAGGTTGAGTCGCGTCAGAAAAGCTTACCTGGATGTGGGAGTTTGGGGTCGTTAACGTCAAACCATGGTTTCCTCTGCGCAGTAATGGGTACCTCGCGTATGGCGTACACGGGTACGCCATCTTCCTGAACCCCAGACTCTCCAGTAATATCATTTAGTTTTGCGATCATGGTGAAGTATTTTCTGTTGCAACCAACAACTAGAAAGAATAGCTTTACAGAAAGATCAAACAAAAGAATTTCAAGTCATTCAAGCCAAGCCATTTCGTCTTGTAAACATCATGTAGAATGCGAGCTGGATGCTCCTATTGGATCGAGTGGTAAACATGACGTCAATGACTTGGGGCTTGGTATGGCTGTGCACAATCTTGAAGGCGAGGGAACCAAGGCTTAGTTTCTAAGTATGGGTGTGCCAGAATGATTGCAGTGCATAGATGGGGTAGATGGGGCTGGAAGGTGACACAGGTGTTGCGACGTCTACGAGCTGCAGCTGCCACTGCCTGGGATCGCAGCCTCACAGCCAATCAGGACATTGCAGATGCGGAATCAACCAAGGCGCGGCTGGATCGCCAGAAACATGGCAGCCCTGGCAGATTTGGATAGATGTCGTGCCAATTATGGATTTTCCTTGTGAACTCCCCCTGTGCACAACCTTGCGTCAAGCCTATCTCGTTTTTCGTCATACGGACAAAACTTCTCGGATTCTTTCGATTTGCTTGCTTCAAATATATTCGACTGATCATGCAAAATATCGTCCTGCGTATCCGTTGTCTTGTTCTGAGCCCTCATTCTACTATGTTGCAGCTATACAACCTCGTCAATGTCCTCTGGCAAGAAGATGTATTTGTAAAGGTTTTATATAGCGACTATACAACCTCGTCAATGTCCTCTGGCAAGAAGATGTATTTGTAAAGGTTTTATATAGCGACTATATCATATTTCTATATGTTTCGATATTTAGATAAGTGAGTTTGAAGACTCTTGGGTGCTGTACTCCGCTATTACCCTGCACCAAGGGCAGGGTATGTAAATCTCGCAATATGAGACGCCGATGGAGCATGAACTTGGTCATCGAATACCACCGATATCAATACCAAAAACCTCGCATACTTAGCAATAATATACCTGAAACGACTTTGGAGCAAAACGTGTAGATATGGCCCTGGTGATCTATACTGACTGAATTTGGTTAGCGCAATCTCGTGAATGAATGACGCGCATGCACGGGATCACGGGAATACGCGCCTTGCAAGGTCGCACAACAACACACGGCCCTCTTGACGATGCAGCAACAGTAGACGTTATTAGAAGACGGTATACACTTCTAACACAGCGCCGAAATGTCCTGAAATGAATGCGTAACCGCAATGTCGTCGCCGTTACCAGATTTCTATTCGTCCCAATTCTCCATTACCTCGCCGCGTCGCATCCCCAAATCGAACTTTACCTATAAACAACTACACCAACTCAAGTCCTACAGCCCACAAACACCTCTTCGGGTAATCGCACATGTCGATCTCGACGCTTTTTACGCCCAGTGCGAAACCGTTCGTCTGGGTATCGATCCCTCTAAGCCCCTCGCTGTGCAACAATGGCAGGGCCTCATAGCAATCAACTACCCCGCGCGCGAATTCGGACTAAGTCGACATGTTACATCCACCGAGGCGCTGAAGCAATGCCCCGACCTCATACTACAACATGTTGCGACGTGGAAAGAAGGCGACGAGAACTGGGCGTACCATGAAAACAGTTTCCGAGACATGGCGACGCACAAAGTCAGCCTGGACCCATATCGCAAAGAGAGCCGCAAGATTTTGAAGTGCATTAAAGACATCTTACCAGAGAAGGAACAGCGTGTGGAGAAGGCGAGCATTGACGAAGTCTTCATGGACTTGAGCGCGCAGGTACATACTATCCTTTTGGAGAGATACCCCGAGTTGAGAGGGCCGGCACCGTACGACGATCCGACAGAGCCACTGCCAAAGGTCCCAACAACGGTACTAGACTGGGCCGCGGATGCGCTTGTGGGGACAGGTGAGGAAAATGGAGAGGATAGAGACCCGGATTGGGATGATGTGTGCATGGTAATTGCATCCGAAATTGTTCGGGACGTCAGGAAACATATTAAAGACACACTTGGATACACATGTTCTGGCGGCGTGGCCAGAAATAAGATGCTCGCAAAGTTGGGCTCAGGATACAAGAAGCCGAACCAACAAACCGTCATCCGGAATCGCGCAGTCAAGCATTTCCTATCAGACATGAAGTTTACCAAGATTCGAATGCTCGGAGGAAAACTAGGAGATGAGATTGTTTCCACCTTTGGCACGGACAAGGTTAAAGACCTCATGGAGCAACCATTGGATCAATTGAAAAAGTTGGGTGACGACACAGGCAGTTGGTTGTACTCAATCATCCGCGGCGAGGACAACAGCGAAGTCAATCCACGTACACAGATCAAAAGTATGCTTTCGGCAAAGTCTTTTCGACCATCAATCAACTCTTTTGAGCAAGGTGTCCGATGGCTGCGTATCTTTGTTGCAGACATTTTCTCAAGATGTGTGGAGGAAGGCGTACTAGAGAACAAGCGACGACCTAAGAGTATCAATCTCCACCATCGACAAGGCACCCAAACTCGAAGTCGCCAAGCACCGATTCCTCAGGGCAAGCCTTTGTCCGAAGCAATCCTGTTTGACCTTGCAAAGAATCTACTAGCACAAACCGTTGTTGACGGGCGCGCCTGGCCTTGTTCGAACCTATCACTGAGCGTCGGTGGTTTTGAAGACGGCATTACAAACAACAAAGGCATTGGTGGCTTCTTGGTACGAGGCGAGGAAGCAAAAGCCATGATGTCTACAGGCAGAGCCATGAGCAATAGCAGTGAGCCACCCGCAAAGCGAAGACGAACAAGAGGCAACATTGCAAATTTCTTTGGTCCGCGAGACGACAAGAAGAAAGACTTTGACGCGGCAAGAGCAGTGCTTTTGAAAGCACATACCGAGTCCACGAAGGAGGAGTCAGAAGAGGATATCGATCAACAAGAGGATGAGGATGCGTTGTTTGCTGGCGACGGCGATGAATTCGAAAGACCATCCACACCTCCTCTAAACCGACATAACTCGCATGGGGATATCCACCCTCCAAATACTCCTCCATCAGCCCAACCGCAGTCAG